ATCCATCCATCCATCCATCCATCCACCCACCCATCCACCCATCCACCCATCTGTCCACCCATCCATCCACCCATCTGTCCAACCATCCATCCACCCACCCATCCACCTATCCATCCATCTGTCCGTCCGTCCATCCATCCACCCATCCATCCACCTATCCATCACTCGTTCCATCCATCCATCCATCTACCTACCCATCCATCCATCCGTCCATCTGTCCGTCCATCCATCCATCCATCCACCCACCCATCCACCATCCGTCCACCCATCCATCCACCCATCTGTCCATCCACCTGTCCATCCACCCATCTGCCCAACCATCCCATCCATCTATCCATCCATCCATCCATCCATCCACCCACCCATTCATCCTTCTCTAATGAGCATATACTCATGTTCTTTTTGGGAACCTGCTTTTTACACCTCACATTACATTACCTATGAACAAAGTGGCTCATGTTCTGATTGGTGGGGGTGAGTTGGAAACCACTGTGCCCCCCTGGAGACCCCTGTGCTGTGTTGCTAGGTCCTGTGTCCATAAGGTAAACCTAGACTGTGTGTTGGTGCCATCGGGTGTAAAGAACTTTGCAGATGAAGAACATTTGTAATCAGGTATGTTAGCAATGAAGGAAAAACATGTCAGGGGTACCTGGATGGTTCAGGTGGTTAAGCATCTAACTTTGGCTCAGATCACGATCTTGTGGTTCGTGAGTTCCAGCCCCGCATCGGGCTCTGTGCTGACAGCTCCGATCCTGAAGCCTGCTTTGGATTCTGTGTCTCCCTCTCATTCTGCCCCTCCCCCGCTCATGCTCTGTCCCTGTCTCTCTCTCAAATAAATAAGCATAAAGGAAAGACATTTCAGGAAGACCTTTAAAATCAAATTAAGCAAATAAATGTTTGAGAGGCGCCTGGGTGGTTCAGTTGGTCTGACTATTGGTTTCGGCTCAGAGCATGATCTCACGGTCCATGAGTTCAAGCCCCATGTTGGGCTCTGTGCTGGCAGCACAGAAACCTGCTTGGGATTCTCTCTCTTTCCCTCTCTCTCTGCTCTTCCTCTGCTCATGTGCTGTCTCAAAAATAAATAGATAAACTTAAAAAACAAATAAATGTTGTGCCATGTTTATGTTTCCTGTCTTCCTAGTCAGGCTGGGGGCTCCTGACGTAGGGACTGTGTCCCCCTCCTCCCCCATCTGATTGGCGTCCCCCAGGCCAGCGTGTTCCTCCTTTCTCCCTCTCTCTCTTTGCCATCCTCCCACCCAGACCCCTGTGGACGGTGGGTATTCTGGTTGTATGTCCTTACTCTGCCTTGTGCAGTGGCTTCCTGGGAACGAGAGGACACTGTGGCCAAGGGGGTGTCACGTGCTTCTCAAGGGAACTCTCCTCCTCCTCCTCCTCGATGCCCTGTGCGGAGGCCTAGGAGACACTTCCTGTCTAACTGGTCTAACATGAGCCGGCTGAGCCCTCTGCCCACCCTACCCACCCCCAGCCCTCCCTGTGGCTCTGACGACAGCTCTCTCCCTCCAGCGGCCACGGCCCGAAGCCCTCCTGTCATCCCCGACTCCCCTCTTCCTCTCACGCCCCCGTCCAGTCTGCCAGGCACCCCTTCCATTCCGTTCTCAAGAGACATCTGGCATCCACCTACTCCTCCCCACGTCCATGGTCTCCCGCTGGCGTCTTAGCTCCCCACATCCACGATCAAGCCACTGGCGTCTTAGCTCTTAATCGTGTCTCGCAGAATACACACGCCGTCAGAGCAGGGACTGTGGTCTGTTTCCTTCTCAGCTGGTCCGCATCACCTGGAGGAGCGCCCAACACAAACTAGGTGCTCAGCGAATGCTTGTCTGCTGAGATTCCACAAACGGGCACCTGCTGAAGCTGCAAAGAAGGGAGATTTTGAGAAACGGGTCAGCCGTTCCCCAGCCCGTGGCCCTGAGCTCCTTCTGAGGGGTGCTCCCCACCGGCTGGCCAGGGATGCTCACCTGGGGTGGCTTCTGCCATCTCCGGAGTCTGGTTCCAAGGGCATAAGCTCACTTTCTAGGGATACTATATTTGAGTCAGGAGGCCCTGGGTGTAAGGTGTGGCGTTTGCACCGACTGGCGGTGGGTTCTGCGCCCGTGATCCCCTTCCCTGTGAAACAAGACACCGGCGATAGTTGCCAGCGTCCCCTCTAGTGAGCACTGGGTTTCAGGCGCTCTGCTAAACCTCTACGTGTAGCTCACAAGTCCCCACCTCAGTGGAACGGAACAGGTCCAACTCCTGTCTCATGGGCGGGGAAACGAAGTCACGAGAGGTGGAGTCACTGTAAGAGGCAGAGCCGGGATTTGAACCCTGGAGGTCTGGCTGCACTGTGCTTTGCACCCCACCTGATCCCTCAGTGCACGAGATAAGATCTCCACCCGGCTCTTCATGGGCCCTCAGAGAATGCTGACATCATCACAGGCTGGGTTCAGCCACCAGGAGTCTCAGGACGGAGGCAAAGCTGGGGGATGAGGGACGGGCCTGATGGGGAGCTCCCTGCTCCATCGGGGTCCCCGGCTGAAGCCCTCACTTCCCCGTCTCTCTGAGAGACCTCGAGTGCCTCCTCTCCTGGCCTCCTGGATTGCTGGGCCTGAGTGCGGAGGGCTGGGCACGGCGCCAGGAGGTGGGGACTTGGCTTAGGCAGCTAATCAGGTCACAGGGTGAAATTAAAAGGGAGGAGGAAGGCACTGGCCCATCAGAGTGCACGCTCCTTCCTGGTGACTTGGTGCCCGGGAGTGGAGTTGGGGAGATAGGACGCGCAGAGGCGGGGAGCCAGGGTGGCAGGATGGCCCCGCACAGAGCGGTGCGGCTGTCCCTGAAGAAGCCCACCTATGCCGTGTGTGTGGTAGGAGTCGAGATGTACGTGGATATTCACAGGTGAGAACTTAGAGGCACCCACCTGGCTGCACGGGGCTGGGTTCCCCTGGAGAACCCCCAGGCATCGGTGGTGGGGGCCCTGTGGACAAATTGCACATGCTGGTACGAGGCTGTTCTGCCGGCGGAGCAGGGGGAGTGGGATGGAGAGCCTGGGAGGGAGGAGCCAGGGTGTCAGCCCATCCTGGGGCTCCGTGTCCCGGACGCCTGAGTGAGGTCTTTGGCCTCAAGCCCACGGATATGGGTTCCTGAGCCCCGGGCTGTGCCTTCTGACGTCCCGGTAGAACTTGTGTGCATCAGCGGCATGACCTGGGGCTTAAGACAGGGAGCAGGACTGGGCCGTCCCGCATTTCGCCCTCTGTGTCTTGCCCACGACCCGTCTGTCTGAATGGAGGTGTGGGGTGTGTGGCATCTGGATCCTCGGAGGCCAGCCAGGGTGATTGGGATCAGGAGGGGAGTGTCAGACGGATGATTCAAGGAGTTAATAAAGGACAAGAACCTGGAACAAGACCCAGGCTTGTGTTTGCCACCGTGATGATGGTGCCAGCGGAGGTGGTGGCCATGGGGACATCTCGGGGGCCACAGAGGAATCAGCTTCTCCACTTGGCCTTGATCCTTCCTGTCCTGGCTCTGCCCAGGTGGGGACCCTGGGGACCTGGCCCAGCTCCCGTTTCTCCACCGGGCCACTTAGGGGGCTGGGCTTGGGGATCTCGGGGGGCGGGGGTGACTTTTCCAGCTCTGACACTGTCGATGAACTCCATCCCTGCTGGTGCAGAGCGGGGGCTCAGGGTGGGAGTCTCCCTCTCGGAGGAGGTGGGCTCTGGGGAGTCTGTTGCAAGGTGTGAACTGAGCTCCCCCTGCCCGCGTGGGTCTCAGCTCTTGTGCTGTCCCTGACGGGTTAGCAAATGCTGGGCCCAACTTCCCGCCTGGCCTCCGGTGGGTCTCTGTCCCAGAAGCCCCCCTGACCCCCCTCACAGCGGCAGGGCTGAGCTGGGAGAGCCAGGATGCCTGGAGGCCAGACCAGACCTTGGCTCTAAGTCATGTCAGCAGCCCTGCCTTGGGCTGATTGTCTCCGATCTGGGTGGCCAGCCGAGATCGCAGGTCCCAGGCAGAGGGCTGCCAGGCTTAGCAGATGAGAAAACAGGACACCCAGTTAGGTGTGTGATTTCAGATAAACAGTAAATGAGTATTTTTAGTATATTGCATGGGACATACTTATGCTTTTTAAACCCGCTGGTTAGCTGATGCTCCAATTTAGCTGGGCACCTTAAAGCCATCCTGCTGTAACCCCAAGGACAGGGCAGGGGTCGCTCATGGCCCCTGCTGTCCCAACAGTTGTTTCCGGAAGGTCATTTCAGAAACTTAGGCCATTCGTGGTGCCGCTGACGAAGGCCAGAGGCACTTTACTGGGGGCCAGGAGACAAGGGTCTGGTCCCGGCTCTGCTGCCGACTTGCTGTCTGGCGGGGGCTCAGTCACTGACCCTTGCTGGGTCTCAGGTCCTCATCCGAGCCCCAGCAAGGTGAGCTGAGCCTGTTGGGAGTTCAGCGTGGAGGTCAAGTGCGCCGATTCTGGTGCTGGACAGACCTGGGTTCCCCCTGCCATCCCATCTCAGAGGGCGGAGGAGCAGAAGACAGATCAGGGCGTGTTGGGGGGGAATGGAGGGCAGTGCTGTCTGGAATCCACTTTGGGGTCACCAAGCACCTCGGCATCCTCAGGTTCGGGCATGGGCCCAGCGGGGGGGGGGGGGCACGAGGAAGCTGCCCACCTCTGCCAGTGCTGCTGTGCCTCTGGTTGACTCTGGGAAGGGGTCCTGAGTGGGCATTTTGAGGAACACCCTCCTCGCTAAAGAGCCTCTCAGGAGCTGTCACCGGGGCATTGGTCGTGATAGGGACATAGCCACTGAGAGTCTCTAATCTAGAAAACTAAGTTTGTTCTGCAAGTTGGTTTAAAAGTAGACTTAAGGAAGGACTTCCTGCCCATGGGGTCTGTGATAGGTGGAGAAAGGGCCACTGCATTGTCAGCCTGGGAAGGTTTGAGGAGGAGCCTGAAGGTCCCCCAGGGCCTGGGCTGACAAGGAGGAGGGGCTACACCCCATGATGAACTTGGGGCTCCTCTGCCCCCATTGCCAGGTGTCTGACTCCAGCCCAGGCCAAGCAAGGGCTTTGTACTTAGCCTTGCTGCTTGAAGGGGCAAGGCCCTCCCGAAGGGGAGGTGTGGCCTGAGTGGCCGGGAGCTAAGCCCTCCAGAGAGCCAGTGGCAATGGGCATGTGGGGTGACATCACAGGAAGTGATTAATTCCCCCAGGTGCTCTGTGGACTGGTTATTTGGGGAAATATTTGTGTTTGAGGTCATTGTGTGTCCCGGCCCAAGGAACCCTTAGAATTCCCCTGACCCGGGGGCGCCCGTGGGGCTCAGCGGATTGGGCATCTGACTTCGGCTCAGGTCATGATGTCACAGTTCGTTCATGCGTTCGAGCCCAACATCGGGCTTACTGCTCTCAGAGTAGAGCCCACTTGGTTTGGATTTGCTGTCTCCTCTCTCTCTGCTTCTCCCTGGCTTGTGCTCTCTCAGAAATAAATGAAACAGGGGCACTTGGGTGGCTTAGTCGGTTAAGCGTCCGACTTTCTCTTAGGTCATGATCTCGCGGTTCGTGGCTTTGAGCCCCGCGTCGGGCTCTGTGCTGACTGCCAGCTCAGAGCCTGGAGCCTATTTCAGAGTCTGTATCTCCCTCTCTCTCTGACCCTTCCCTGCTCACGCTGTCTCTCTCTCTCTCCTATAAATAAATTTAAAAAAACATTAAAAAAAATAAATGAAACATTAAAAAAAGAACACTCTGACTTAGCATGTGCTACAGATTCCGTCCCCTTCCTCTCACTCTGATGGACTAGCTCACCGCCCTGACCCACCGCCCCAGCGGGCTAGGTCACCACCCTGACCCTGCAGGTCTGCTCAGATGGCCCTGGTTGGCCCTGGCCTTGCTCAGAGGTGGCCCCCAGAGGACTCATGCCAAAACAGAGGGCGTGGGCAGTGTGGGGAATCCATGTTTGGTGCTGTCTGGCCTCTGTCTGCCCAGAGGCCATAATGAATGTTTTTTCCCTGGAATAGAGGAGAAGGCTGGCTGCGTGGGGGACAGACACGTTCTCCTGGATCTCTCCCAAACCCCCAAACCCCCCCTGCACAAAACCATCAAAGCAAAATAGACTCTTCCTATCAGACTGGTAAAATTGGAGGTGCACAGGGAGAGGAGCTCTGACCAGCCAGAGAGAGGCCCCCGGCTGCTGCTCTTTCCTGCCGTTCTGTGCATTTCAAAGAACAAAAGCTCCAGAACAAAGTTCTAATATATATATATATATATATATATATATATATATTCTTAATGTTTATGTTGAGTATTTGATGCCTTTAACTTGCACAGGAGCACAATGTAGCGTGATTGTGCTGCTCCCGGTATAATTACCGGAGCGGTGCCGGCACTCATTGTGACTGACAGGCTCCGAGAGCCGGGCCGGGACCTCTGTGCTGTGCCGCCCTGCGTTCCTTTATTAGAAGTAAGGCTGCAGTTTAAGTGTGAGGTGTCTGGAGACAGTGAGGCCAGGGTCCCCTCTGTGTTCCATGGGGGGTGATGGGCCAGCGGGTCGTCGAGTCTGGACATGGAACGGTGCAGGGTGGGTTCTTGGAACAGAAAACGCTGGCATCCGGTGGACCTCCGAGGTCAGCCACTCTTTTTTTTTTTTTAATTTTTTAAAAACGTTTGTTTATTTTTGAGAGACAGCGTGAGCAGGGGAGGGACAGAGAGAGGAAGACACAGAATCTGAAGCAGGCTCCGGGCTCTGAACTGTCAGCACAGAGCCCAACACAAGGCTCGAACCCATGAACAGCAAGATCATGACCTGAGCTGAAGTCGGACGCTCAACCGACTGAGCCACCCAGGCCCCCCCTAGCCACTCCTTAATCCTACAGGTGTCCCTGCCTCCTGGGCCCCCTGGCCACCTGCCGTTTGAGCCCACGGGACCCTCCCTATCAGCCACTCTGCCCTCCCCTCCCCACCCCTCCCATCATCTTTGGCCTTGGAATCCATCCTCATTCTTCATCATTTCCTTCCCTCCCAGCTCCCATCACCTCCAACCCCCCGCTGTCCCTTCTCCCAGTCCCTGCCCTTCCTTCCTCGGTGGGCGGACCAGCCAGGGACCCCGAGAGGACACTTGAGACGTCAGGAATGGGAGAGTTGCTCACGTGTGAGGTCGATTCCTCCTGACCCCCAAAATGATCTCCGTGTGACACGTCCTCAGCTTTGCTCCGTCCAGAGAAGCTTCCACTCCCTTCTCATGGGGCTGCTAAGCAGCTGTTCGGCTTCGCCAAGTGGTCCTGACGCTGGAAGATGTGGTGCGTGGGATGCAGGGCTCAAAGGAGCTGGCAAATCGCCACCCAGCAGAGGATGTCAGCTACCCGGGGGGCTCGGCGCCTGTCTCACCCTTGCTAGATGGGGAGAACATTTTTTGTAGTCGTTACCTGTGAATTGGGCCCCCGTTTTACAGAGGAGGAATTTCCCAGTCTGCACAATGCATAAGCACGGCCAGCTCTTCCTTCTGCACATGGGGAGCCTGCGGGTGAGAGGGAAGAAGTGATTCACAGTTGCCTTCCAGTTCGCGGCTCCCTCTCTCAGGGAGGTTCACCCCTGCTTGCCCCTGCTGGGAGGGCTGTGGGTGACAGCTGCTGCCCCCTCCTCTCCAGCCCCCGCTCCCAGGAAGGCCGGGGTCTACTTGAAAGAAGGCCTCCCCAGCCTGGGGCCTCCTTCCAGGCCCTGGGTGTGCTCGCCCTGAACAGTGACTGAGCAGAGGTTACCCATGGTCACTATCTCTGGGAAGGAAGGAAGAGAGAGACGACACAGCCACACTCTAGGTTTAGGAGAAAATGATACCCCCCCACCCCTGGGACTCGGGGTCTGTAAGGTGCCAATCATTGCCTTCCCTGACCTCTGTCAGCCACAGCCAGCACCCCGGGA